CTCTAATGATTTCATTCTAATTTTCTATTCTACCTAAATTTAATTTCCTTGAACCATATGATTCGTTTTTTTAATCTTAAGAACCAAATTTTTTAAAACGAAATTCTTTTTACTTTGAAAAATACTTAAACCTCAAATTTTAAATAAAATAAAAGTATAACGATTTTTATATAATTATCTATTGGATCACAAAAAATAAATATAATAATACATATATTAAAAATAATTACAATATTTATTCGAGATAAGGAAAAGGTAAGAAATATATATTTAATAAATGTATTACAATAATTTATTTCATTAAATATTGCATAATTAAAAAAATTACATGAATATATTAGAAAATAATCAAACATCTAAAGTAGATAATAGAAATGGATTTTTTCAACTTCATTATCTTGTTGTGCTATGATTGTAATTAATATATTTAACTCTCCATCACCAATAAACCTGAAAATTTTGTTATAACCATCAAAACTTTAAGTATACATATGTGATCTTAAACTAAAAATATGAAAATTAAAGAATAAATAAATAAATTTTAGTATAGCTTTAGAAATATACAAAAATGAATACAATGTTAGATATATATATATATATATATATATATATATATAATACATTCTAAAATAAATTTAGAATCCAATTCTTGATTTTTAATCCATATAACAACATAAAAATAGACACATAAATATAGTAGAAGAAAATGAGAGAATGATTACTTATAAGATGATTATCTAAAATAGACAATGAAGATGCATCTTTCAAAAAAAAAAAAAACTAATGTAAGAACACAAAACAAAAAAAATATTTAAGATTTGAGCTATAGTGGAAGGGTGAGAGGATGAGAGGATGAGAGAATGAAAATTGAGTATTTATAGGATGAAAAGTGAGATAAGTTACAATTAAAAAAATAAATTATGGGAGTTACAATTCTAATTTATTGTGTGTTGAATAAAATTGAGAGGAAAAATATAATTAATGTAAAATTTTAATGATTTCAGTTTTTATATTAAAGTGTGAGTTAAATGTGTTTTATTTATGATTTAGTTAAAAATAAAAAAATTAAGTTACATTTCTAAATGGACCAATAAGAAGAGAGTGAAACTCTACTTTTATATGTATGATTTATTTATTTTTTAAATACCAGGAGATTCTGGGCCAAAACCCGTAATCTCCCCAGACCCGAAACCACATCATGTAATATTAGTTTCGTTCCAAATGTCACTCGAACCAGCGCCACTAAGCTTCGCCTAGGATTTGAGACATTTCTAATTTTGATAAACATTTAACGAAAAAACGTTTTTATACAAAGTTTCGTCTATATAATGAACCAATGAAAAACGTTCTTTGAAATATTCACACCACACATTAGCATTACTAGACAATATTGTGTAAGTTTAAGATATTATGACATTATTATTGTTAACACAATCAATATATAACACAATTTAGAAATACTAGATCATGACCCGTGCTATACAGCACGGGATTTAATATTTTTCATGAATTAAATTGTATATTTTGTTCGAAGAAATAAGGAATAATTTAGTATAATAGTATAATATAAAAGGGAATATATCATAATATTTTATATTTATTACTATTTGGATATAATGTTATATATTTTATTTGACTAAAGAAGGAGATAATATTGTATTTTAGAATTTAATATATTTAGCAGCATTAGATTTGTATTTTTTTTATATGAGATTAATAATTTCAATTAGGAATTGATTATTTTATTGTGTGATTGTGAACAAACAAAAAAATAGTTGTATTGGGTCTAAGTTTTTTAATGGATTATATTGGGTTTGTGGGGCCTAGTTTCATGGTTTAAAAAAAAAGAAAAAAAACGGTTTAACATACCTTTGGAATTTGCTGATCTGTTCCTATTTGATGTCTGCTTGAATTTTGTTACCCTGTGATTAAAATAAGATGACTTAAAACTTACGGCACATATATTACAAAGAGAATTGTATAAAATTTCAATGGTACTTACAGGCTCATCTTTCAAAATCATTTCCAAAGATATGCCAGAACCTTTTGTAAAATGAATCCACGAATGAAATATACTAACTTGAATACAGCAAAAAGTCTTGACATGCTTCAAATTGTTAATAGGAGTGTAGGGACTAACCATAGCCATTTCTGCTGTATTTTTAATTGTAGGATATGAGAATGGTGCTGAGATGATTTCTGTGAGAAAGGTACGTCAAGCCTAAATGGATATTTATAGTTGTAGATTGTTTGTGATAATTAGGAGATTCAGAAATATATTAATTAACATAAAATAGTTAGATAATATTTTAAAAAGGTATATTCTAGATTATTTGGAATATAGGATCAAAATTATATAACAGAGAGATTTGACAATCTTTAGAAAAGATTTTAAGGAAACTGAATAGCTGATTATATTGATGCGTGATTAAACTAAACAAAAAACGTAAAACTAAACAAAAAACGATCTAGAATATAACAACTATTATAACTTATTTTTTTTATATTTAAAGGGTTTTAAGGAAACTGAATTTATTCTCAAAGATTTTAGGAAAACTGAATATATTCTCAAAGATTACGAATTGCTTGAATACGAATTTATATCTAAACAAAATATAACAACCTAATATCTTTAAGATCTTTAAACCCGTTTTTCGTTATTTGACCCGTTTTTTAATTAATTTGTTAATGTTAGTGACATGGAATTAAAATGATTATGATTAGAGATATCTAATGGCATATATTATAATTTCTTACAAAATTTACGTTACGACTTATAGGATGTACTTCCCAAATAATAGTATAGGATATGCCTTATTAGTTTGAATTGATTTTATTATTTACGAAATCTCCCTAATTAATTAATTACAAAATTATGTGATTATATTGTTTAGATAGTATAATTAAACCCGTCTGATGACCCAATGACCCGCGTAATTAAAAAATGAATATACTACCTAGACAATATAATCAACTGAAGTCAGAAACAAAGATTTAGGAAACTGAAAATATTGTATTGTTTAGCTTAATCAAAAACAATGAAATTGATGATAACAGATGTTTAGGAAACTGAAAATATTGTCAAAGATAATAACAGATGTTTAGGAAACTGAAAATATTGTCAAAGATTACGAATTGTAGTTGAAAATAAATTTTGTTTAGTTATAAGAACGTAGACACATTTTCAATTTTTAGTAACATTTTAAAAAAATGAAGAATTATATAACATTTTCAGTTTATATAACATTTTCGAACTATATGAGTATTATAATTCAAAATAGCATTTTTTATTTTTTATAAATTGGATTGATATAAAATGTTTTCAATGATATATCATTTTCATTAACATTTTCAATGACATTTTTTATAAGATGTTCGAATAATGGATTACTATATAACAAATTGAATAACATTTTTAATTTTCAATAACATTTTCGAATAATATATTAGTATATTAGTATATAACATTTTTATATATTATATAAACAAAATCTTTTATGTATTATATAACATTTTTATGTATTATATAATCTCGAATATTGATTGGTATATAATATTCTCGAATTATATTAATTATGTATTATATAAACAAAATATTTTAATATCTTTAAACCTGTTGACCCGTTGACCCGTTAATATATATTAGTGACATGGAATAAATTTTAAGATTAGAATTATATTATGGCATATATTGTAATTTCTTACAAAATTTAAGTTATGATCCTTAGGATGTACTTCCCAAATATTAGTATAGGATAAATCCTAGTTAACTAAACAACAAAAATGATATATTGCCAACAAAAAAAAAAATCGTTAGTAACACTAGATCTCCAATGATAAGTGTTTTAAAAGATTCTAATTTGATATTTAAAAAAATGTTAGTTAAGTGGTTAAAGATTCACCACTCCATTCTTCTTTAGCACTACAAAATTTTTATTTATTTATATCACTTATTTTAAATATTTGTATTACTTATAATTAATGTATTACTTATAGGATAATTCGATTACAAGAATTTAAAATCTAAATAGTCGTGTTATCCCGTGTAATAAAAATTTAGCTATAAATCGGAGTTTATTGACCCAAATAATTATAACAAAATGCTTTTTTTGTATAAATTCTTTCTTTTAAAATAGGTTCTTATTAGGTGAAAAGGAAGATTCACATATTATATAAGTGTTTTTAAATGACAAAAAAAAACATAATCATGAAATAATATGTTTGCCTGACCCACCAAAACCCATGTAAAAGTTTTACCAATTAATGATTTAATGTCGATATTTCGCCACATGTACGAATCACAAAACACAAAGAATAAAAACTAAAAATAGCAACACTTGATTATATTCATATTTATTATTTCGATAGTAACACTTGTGAATTTTATAAATATTCTCTCTTTCTCACTTCTCCATTATTTCAGAGAACCATAACCTCGTGGGCTCAGCTTTTGTCCCCTTTAAGTATGAACTAAACAGCCTTTACCCATATGACCTAAAAAACATTTTAAAATCATTACATTTTTTTTCTCCCCATAATAAACACTTGTTTGATTAGTTTTGTAACGCTCTCAATTATTTTAAATTCAATTATTTTTCAAAAAAAAAAATCATTAATTACACCTTAATTATTTCCCCCTTCTCCTGTTTTTTCTTGCTTAAGATCACAACAACAACTTAACGGTATAAGAAAAAATTAAAATAAAAAATGTTTCCACCTTCCACCACTAATCACATATTAATTTAATTAATCTTCTTCTTCTTCCATTTATAAACCTAAAAAATTTCGAGAAAAATAAATATATTCTCTCTTTCTCTTCCATCAAGCAAAGCTCTTCAAAAAGAATCAAACTTTCACTTATTTTTTCGAAAAAAAAAAGAATCAAATTTCTCTTTTTGTTTTCTCGAGATCTGTTCATAGAGAGAGAGATAAAAATGGGTTTTTATGAAGGAGCCTCTGTTCATCCAAAAAACCCAGAAAACACAAACTCAGTGAATATTCCGATTCTCACTTCTTCATCATCATCACCAGATCTTGACGGAGATAACAATGACAACAACAAAGGAATCAAAACCCTTTTGAAAAAAATGATTTTTGATTTGGGTTTCGCTTGTTTTCTTCCTCCTTTAGCTGAAAACTCCGGCAACAACAATGGAGGTGCCGGCGGAGGAGGAAGTGGCGGCGGAGGAGAGAATAACAAAGCTTGGCTTTTGGCTGAAACAGCACCGGAGAATATGAATCCTGATCCTCATTCAGTTCATTCATCGTTTAGATTCAGTCTTTGTTCGCAAATCGAGCTTGAGAAAATGAAAGGTGAAGAACCGTCCTTGTCTGCTTCGTCTTCTTGTCGGAATTTGTCGGTTTCTGGTGGTTCCACGACGGTTTTGATGGTGAATTTGGAGAATGGTGTTAAGGAGACTACTGGGAATTCGACTGATGATTTGCGGTGGACGAGAGCTAGGTCGCTTGAGAAGAGTATTTCTCCTGTGGCTAATACTTTGGTTCGGTTTAGCTACGGTGAAATTGTGGCAGCTACTCGTAATTTCTCTAAAGGTTAGATCCTAAATTTGTAATTTAAGATGAAATTTGAAAACTGTATTTGTTTGGTAATAAGATTCGGGTAGTATCGGGTACGGGTCGGGTACGGGTAATTTGTGTATACAACTAGTATACAAAGTATTATTCGAAAAAATACGGGACAGATAATATCGGATAAGTATCGATTCGGATACATGTAATTTGGGTTATAAATTTGAAACATTTTGGGTAGATTTTTAGTTATTTGTTTGGTAATTAGGCTCATCCATATCGGATATCGACGCACGGGTAATAGCAGGTATGGGTATAAAACTAGTATCCTAAATTTTCTAAAATCAATACAACACTCTCACTAATTCAATAAGGGTTGAATTTGAATGAAGTTATTTATGATTTTAAGTTTGAGTATTATTTTGGCTATATCACTTTAGTAATTTTTAAAATTTAGAATTACCTAAATAGGATATTTGAATGTTTTATAGTGTTCCAAACGTGACAAAGTAAGTGATAGAAAATTCGGATCGGATATGGGTCGGGTCGGGTCAACCGTCCCAAAATGGACTACCCTATTTGGTAATGGTAATTTGGGTGAAAATGAAATGGTTTCTGACTTATTGATTCAATGGTTTACAGGGAGAGTGTTGGGAAGAGGAGCTTGTAGTTATGTGTTTAGAGGCAAAATCGGAATGTGGCGAACCGCTTTAGCAATCAAGAGACTTGATAAGGAAGACAAAGAATCTCCAAAATCTTTTTGTAGAGAGTTGATGATTGCAAGTTCTCTCCACAGTTCCAACATTGTGCCTCTTCTTGGCTTTTGTATTGATCCTGAAGAAGGTTTATTCTTGGTTTACAAGTATGTCTCTGGTGGAAGTCTCGAACATTATTTACACGGTAAGCGAAAAGATGTCTCATTTGTGTTTACATAGAGAGATTGTTAAGCTGTTCTTAAAGACTTAATTGATTTTGATTTTCTGTTTGTAATAGATAAGAAGAAGAAGAAAGGCGTGAAAGCGGCTTTTGGTTTACCTTGGTCAGCAAGGTACAAGGTCGCATTAGGCATCGCAGATGCCATCGCTTATTTGCATAATGGAACAGAGCAATGTGTTGTTCACAGAGATATCAAACCCTCCAATATTCTTCTTTCCTCAAAGAAAATACCAAAGGTAATGACAAAGTCTTTTTCGCAAAACGAATGATGTATTCGATTATCAGTCACGGTCAGCAAACATGTAATTGTTTTGAGCTGTATTTTTTTTAGTTGTGTGATTTCGGGTTAGCTACTTGGACTGCTGCGCCTTCTATTCCTTTCCTCTGCAAGACCGTGAAAGGCACATTCGGGTATCGATCGAAACTTGCCATGAGTTCTTTTTTTTTTTTTCTCCTTTATAGCCAATTCCTAATGATTTAATCCGGTATCGAAACTTTCTTGCAGCTATCTGGCTCCAGAGTATTTCCAGCATGGTAAAATATCTGACAAGACTGATGTTTACGCCTTTGGGGTTGTATTGCTTGAGCTAATAACTGGCCGGAAACCAATCGAAGCAAGAAGAGCATCTGGTCAAGAAAATTTGGTTGTTTGGGTATGTCATCTAATTTCACATCATTCCCTAACTACTAGTATTGAACTTGGTGACAGCAGAACTTGAATAACATTTAGGATTCATATGTATTTATTTTATAGGCGAAACCGTTGTTGCACAGAGGGATGGAAGCTATAGTGGAGCTACTCGATCCGAGGTTAAAATGCACAAGAAAAAACTCGGTTCAAATGGAACAGATGATCCGTGCTGCAGCGGCGTGTGTGATCAATGAGGAGTCCCGAAGACCCGGTATGGAAGAGATTGTCTCAATCTTGAAAGGGGAAGAAGGTTTAGAGCCAAAAACACACTCAAGCAGGAAAAATACAAATATTTCGGGTATGATTGACTCGTATACACAATTGCAACAAACCAAATCCGAGATGAAATGTCATCTTGATCTTGCGATGCTCGGAGTAACCGAGTTTGAAGACGATGATCATGTGTACGGGCGATGAAAGATCCCAATAAATGGATTAAAAAGTGTGTAAATAGGTATTTATGAAAAGTTTGAAACAGAGTTCTTAGTTTCTGAATCAGTGTTTGGTGTGTGTACATTGGTTTCGTTTTTTTTTTTGTTTATTCCACTATGGAGAAAACCGGTTTAGGTTTTTATTTTCCCGGTTTGGTTATGGAGACAAAGCCGATTCTCCGGTTTCGTTTTCCGTTTTCAATATTTTTGGGCTTTTTTGAGAAATCCATTAAAAAGAGGGTTGGAATTGTTATTTATTTGATTAACTAAAGGAAAGTGTGTTGTTATGACTTACATCTGTTTCACAAAGAAGTGTCATTCTACATTTTTTTACATTTGTTTCACAAAGAGTGTCAATCTACATTTTTCACACATATTAAGAAAACTATTAAAATTTTTACTATACCCTTTATCAATACACTAAACAAAATCATGTCTCTTATTAATACACTAAATAAATAAGGTTAAAATGAATTTTTATTCAGAAATTTGCATTGGAAATACAAAACGACACTCTTTGTGAAACAAAATTAAAACTTTAAAACGACAGTCTTTGTGAAACAGAGGGAGTATTATAAATTGCAATCCCTAAGTCTCATAATTTTTAATTCTGTTTGTTATTACTTAAATAATGTAGTAATTATTATAGACAAAATCTCAAGGTACACACAACTAAGAGGAGGATACGACATTTATGAGAATTGATTTTCAATTTCAAAGTCAAAAGAATTACTCCACCTTAATTGTCGTTGATTGATTTTGTTGTTAAAAACGATGGTCACTGTCTCTCATTCTAAGTATCGTTCACCAACATAACAATCTCCTTCCTTTTCTTCTCTTCTCTAGTTCAAGTCTGAGAGTACAAGACGAGGTTAGTGTTCGATTAGCCTTTCATTTGAGTGTTACGAATCAAAAGGAGAAACAGTTTTATCATGGGACTCTAATTGTCATCAAACCGTCGCACTACAGGGCGATTTTTGAATTAAGGAGAGAGATCATCAAAGTTCTCGACTCTGTTTACCACCGTCAATCTTTGTTCCTCAACCATCCTATCGGTATAGTTGATTTTAGATACTTGTTCTATGTTAATCGCTTCACAAATATTAGATTGTGCCCCTGTTGAAATATTCAGGTCCTACATTCTTAACTCAAAAAACAATCTAATATTTTTAAGTTCATTCCGATGAACGTTTTTACCGAAAAATTGATCAAAACCACTTGGTCAAAAAACAAGTTCCAACAATATAGGAAAAGGAGAGGAATGGTTGATGGCATCAGCAAGTACATCATCATGCATCAAGAGAGCGGTTCGTAATCGCATATCGTCTCTAGAATACTAGGAATCACACAAGTTTGGAGGTCCATCGTCATTAGTTTTAAGCTTGTTGTTATGGGCTATAATCAACATAACACGTTTTATACAATATAGTCTTATTTTTAATTCACTTTATATACATAAAACTCCATTTGTTGATCAAGAAATTTAAGTTTATCAACATTTTTCCACACCAAAAAAAACAAAAACTTTTTATACATTATTGATGAGTCGGTTTTGTATTAAATTTCATCTTAGAGTTGTATATGAGGTACCTTTTAGATACGAAGAAGAGATGGTAGCGTGATTCCAATCGGAAAGAGCAATAGGAACATATTGAAGGAACCTCATTTTCCATGGTTTTAAGGTTTTCAAGCTATTCAAATTTTTGTAGAGTTAAACCCTAACACGTCTAGAACTGGCCCAAAGGACCAATAACTTAATTAAGAAATTATTTATTTGGCAAATCCGAATATTCATCTTCCGGGAAAAAGGTGAATTTCAACCTCTCAACAAAGCATTGATGAATGGTGTTAGTCAACCTGTTAGCTTCTCTATTCTAAGTTTGGGTAATTCGATCCGAAACCAACAAAATCCTTTACTTGAATGTTGAAACTACCACAATTAATTGAATCCAAAAAATAAACTCTCCAAGTTCACTTGGGAGAATTACACAAATCAAATTCCAAAATAAAAATAAAATTCTAAACCAAAATAAACAAAAACAAGGAAAGAGATAATAAGCTTAAAGAGATAAAACTAGATCCCAACGAGGAAGCTCTTGATAAGGTCAAAGGAACATCCCAACCATACACGAACACAGACTGACCGAGATGTTGAACATCTAATATCTCCGATAAATAGATTCCGTCTTCTCTAGCTTCCCATACGTTTCCATCATAGACTTTAAACACTTGGTGGTGCTTGAAATTAGGTCCTTGCCATAGATGACACCAAAAGAACTCGTCAGAATCATCAAAATCGTTAAGCAAATTGTATGATCCTGTTGGATGCACTCTATGGTATCCCATATCTTGTCTCGTGGATTTGCAATGGACTATGAGATCGTTTTTTTCATGAAGTAAGTTTCTGATCCACGTGGAATGTGTGTATGATAAGGTTGTGTTACTCAACATGGTAAGGCCAAAGGCGAAAACAAAAAGAAGAAACGATAGACGATTCGTCGATTTCATCTTTGTATGTTGAACTAGGTTGATCGATTTTGCAGTGATAGAATAACAATTAGGGTTATGAGACTGAGCAATTGCAATTTTTAGTGGTTATTAATATTTAAGTAAATTTTAAATACGTGGCCACAAAAACAATAATTATAGTCAGCCATAACATCACGTGAAGGATTTGTTATTATCAAATAAATAACAATTTTTTTAGCAAAAAATAAAAATAAATAAATAACAATTACAATTTACATCCTCCTTTTTAATGGATTTCCCAAAAATAATCCCAAAAAATATTGAAAAAGAAAAACGATCTAGGAAAATCCACTCTAGCTAGAATAGATGAGTTGGTTTTGAATTAATGTTGATCCTGGAGTTGCAATATTTCGTTGAATTAATGTTAATTTACAACGCATATGAAATCACAAGCCAACATATCCACCAAAATTTATTATTCAAGAGATATAACTTTAGAAGAGATAATTTCTTTCAATTTCAATGACATTTTACAATCAAATATAAATAATCTGAAGAAGAAAACAAATACCCATTAATAGAAGATATTTATTGAGAGGTTGATGAAATCGATGGAAGCAAATCGAAATCGACGGAGATTACAAACCGAGATCAATATTCAAGAAAAGAAATATCGTATATTTGTTAATACTTAGTTAAAAAAATTTAACGTTATTTCTAATGATATTATTTATATTATTGTTTATCGTAGTTAAAAGCATTAACTTAGTTATTTAACATGATATCAGAATCCAAACACACATTATCTTTTTTTTGTATGAATGTAAAATTATATTCACAAAAAAAAAAAAACTGTTTTACAATAAATGCAACATGAAAGCCAAAAAATTTGAATGATTTAGAGAAGTTTTAAGGTTTGAGAAGGAGATTAATGACCATGTGTTTGAAACCAGAATTGTAGACCACCCTCATAATCGGAAGAACCCGTTGTCTCAATTGTGCTACCTCGATTGCGGACGCTCTTGTCGATCATTGAGGTGAGCTTGGTGACTGGTGTTGGAGTATCCCCATAACGTTGTCCATTACGTTCTCGACATATACTGTGAATGGAGATCTGAAACACGTACCTTAACACAAATGAGGGAATTCATGTAGAAGATGAAGCCGTGAGTAAGGGAGTATAGCTTCCCAACTTGTTGTGAAATGATGATTAAGATTGTCTTGGGCTAGTATTGTCCAAACTTGGGAGGAATAGGAAAATGAGAAAACATGTGGTTTCTTGTCTCCACTCCTTCCCCTCGAAAAACACAACTTCCACTCGCTGCTACATTCCATCCTAAAAGTATGTCCTATGTAGCTAGACGATTATTGATAGTGATCCAAGTTATGAAAGAGTACTTGGGTGTGGAGTTAGGGAACCAAACACCCTTGTACCATTCACAAATTGGATTTGCTTCGCGAATTAAATACCAAGTGTCTGGTGAAGAAAACTTACTCATGTAGGAGTCAGTTTTCCTTTTCCACAACAAACACACATTGTCCCCACTAAATTAGTCCGAAAGTGGTATGATCACCCCCATTAACTGATGGCCAAAGAAAGTCTTAACTTATCAAAGAGATCCTTCTAACTTCTAGTTGTTTGACCACTAAACTAGAAGTTTTTCCTTTTCTAGGTACCACTATACTTGGTGGTATGGATCCCAAGTAAATGTGTTCTTATTCGTCAAGTTAATTGAATTCTTACAGAGTTTGGCTGATGTGAATTTTTAGCGTAGTAAAATTGTTTTTGGAGTCGTCTTTTCTAATTTTTTTGGTAATAAAAACATATATCTGTATTTAAAAATAAATTATAAAGCGAAAATAAAACCTTTGAATTAACGCTTTGAATATGACCAGCATGATACCCACGAGTTGCTACGATATTTGCTAGATTCGTTGAGCACCGAAGACTCGGCTTTGAGAAAGAAGCGTGGTGTTTCTGATAATGATGATAAATCACCTACTCTCATAGATTTTGTATTTGGAGGCGAAGCGTCGAGCATTGTTTGTTGTATGGAGTGCGGGCGTTCCTCAAAAGTGTATGGGCCATTTTTGGATCTCTCTTTACCCGTATAATTCAAGAAAAGCCCTCCTAAAAAGCCACAACATGTTTCTCGAGCAAAAAAAGCTAAGCTTCCACCGAAAAGAGTCCATAATAATGTGTCAAAAGTAAGTAAGGTTTCCAAAGTTCTCCCAAGTAAGGCTCTTTTTGAGAACTAAATTCTCCGGGAAAAGCTTTGGTTGTCATCATATTCCAGTGTTGCACCCTTTGATAATGGTCTGGTTTTAGAGACTTCTCCAGTTCTAACCCTTGACAATAAGTAGGCCTCATAAAGTGCAACACAAAGTGATACTGGTTTCGATAGCTTCTACTTGGATATTATCGGACCATAAACCTCTAGAGATGAGACGAATTTGGATATGCAAGATGGTACTGATAATTTCTCTATAGCTGAGATTAATCAAATTGTTCTCATTCTAAATATTCCGGCCAAAAGCCCAGTTTCATCGGGTGATCAGATTTTGGAACGTAACATAGAGAGGCTGATGCACGATAATGAGGAAATTGCAAAGGCGGAAACCATTTTGGATGAAAAAGATGTACAAGCTATGCAGTCTGATGAATGCCCAACTACGAGCATATTAGTACTAAATCTAAAAAATTGTATTACATCTGTACATGTCATACAAAGAAATATCTTGTAATGATAAATCAGTTGCAGAAGGTGAGTGTGAAGCTTCATCTTCATTTGTTACTGGTGATCTTTTTTTTGTTGTCGTCTTTATTAGATATCTAATCTAATCCTATTAGGATGATATTCAACTACATGCATCATATGCGATTATGATGAACAGCTCCTACGAACAACGATTCCACAGCGCAGCTCTCCCCCAAAACACTCGGATCTTCGACGGACGGTTCAGCATGTACGACATCCCTGCGATGGACATGCTCTCCCTGCAACACTCAGACCACTACGAACGGCTCAACATGCGGCATTTTAGACCTCAGATAAGTTTTGCACCATTAATCTGCAAGAAACTACGTTTTCTGGGACATGAAGCCTATACTTGGTTTAAAAGTATTAATGAATCTTTTGGTCAACCACTGGACCAAAAAAACTTCCACTGTTATTGGTGATCATAAACCACAAAACAGTGATATTTGTTGATTTTGACGGTTTATTTGATGAACCCGAAACTACCGAAGGACCTAATCAAAATTTAACCAAACTAATCCAAATATACCAGATGAAAACAAAATGTACTAAATTAAACTAAAAATTCGGTTTTTGGCAATTCGTCCTCAAACTGAAGAACCCATTGTTGAAACGAACTAAACAAAAAAAAATTGGGAAAAATATCATTTAAATCATCTATTTACCATTTTTGTTGGTTTAAAGCATGAACTCCAGACTTGGTGATTTAAATCTTTAATTTTATATTGATTTTCATTTTAATCATGAATTTTCGTTGACAAAGCCAATTGAGGCACATCGTTAACAGGCCAAACGGATCAATAAGACGATGTCATCGCATAACCGACATTTCGAAGCCATCGCATAATTTTTCTTCTACACCAACAGGATTTTCATCTTCTTCTTCGAAAACTTTGCGAGGACATCTTCGTTTAGCCAGTTAACGATGTGCTTTAATTGGTTTAGTCAACGAGAATTCGTGATGAAGTTGAAGTCAACATAAAATTGAGGATTTAAGTTATTAGATCTATATAAAATTAAAAATTTAAATTACCAGATCCAAGATTCATGGTTTAAACCAACGAAAATGGTAAACTGATGATTTAAATGACAATTTGCTCCAAAAAAAATTCGGTTTATTTTGACACAGTTTCACTCAATAGTCAATGATGATAATTTATTAAAAACATTTGTTTATTTGTCTCTTCCTTTCCTTTTTTTTTTTCTTTTACCATTTCTTCTTTTTCGTATTATTATTTTATTATTTTGTCTTTGCGTAGATATTTTGTTTGTAACAGTTTCCAAAGAGAGACGACTCTGAATCCCAAAAAGAATCGAAGAGAGAAGAAAGACGATTTTCTCGAAGAAGCTATGGCGGATCAACTCACCGACGAACAGATCTCCGAATTCAAGGAAGCTTTTAGCCTCTTCGACAAAGATGGCGATGGTTAGTCTCTCCAACAGATCTCGCATTTTCCTTTCGTCTTCAATCGATGCTTTAGAACGCTGTATCTCGTCCTCTCGAGCTTCGAATACGTGTTCCTGAGTCGCTAATCGCTTTAGATTCCGATTCCGATTTGTTGTGTTTTTGATCTTTGACCGATTAGTTTTCGCTTTTTCGATCTTCACTGGCTTTTCGTTTTTGATTGAATCGTCTCCTTGTTGTCCTGTTTCGTTGATTTGTTAGCTTGGATCTGAGTTTTTTTTTTTTTTTCGTTTAACACATTTTTTGGTCTTTGAATCTTTTGTTTGATCGTATGTTTCTTCGAGTTTGCTCTTTGTTAATGAAGAATCTGTTATCTGAATGATGTGCAGATGTGTGATTTTGTATCTTTTAGAAGCTTTGATGGTTCTTCTTGATTTGTCTTTGGCTTGTTGATAGGTTTCAAGGTCTTGATGTTCAGATTGTTCTCTTGATATCCGAGTTGTTTGCTAGCTTTGTTGATCAAGGATTTGTGCTCTTTGAGCTAAGAGTTTGATTTCAAACAAAACATAAATTGTTTCGAAATGATTCTTGAATTCTCTAAGTTTTACATTTTTTTGAAGCTTAAAGTGCAATTTTGTGTTGATTTGTTTGCTCATATACTCTTTAAGAGATAAGCAAAACTGGTTCATTTGCTTTTGCATCTATCACTGCTTTTACTTGTGATGTAACTGCTTCATCTTTGATTCCATTTAGCCTTGAGTGTTTGTGGTGGGTTCTAAAATGTAATGCTCTCTGAACTCGAAAAATCTGAACATCAAGATGTAGTTCATAAATTCTTTGAAACTTATCCTTCAGTTGTTCATCATGCACGCTTATTCATCAGCGGTGTAGATTTCTTGAAGCTTAAAGTTCAATTTTGTGTAGATTTGTTTGCTCATGTATACTTTGAGAGATCAGCGGAAATAGGTTCATGTGCTTTTGCATATATCATTGCTCTTCCCTGAGAAAGATCTTAACCTACCTACTTAGTATTGATCCTTGTGTATCTGTGATGGATTCTAAAATGTAATACTCTCTTAATTGTGGCACAGGTTGCATCACAACCAAAGAGCTGGGAACAGTGATGCGTTCACTAGGACAAAACCCAACAGAGGCTGAGCTTCAAGACATGATCAACGAGGTTGATGCAGATGGAAACGGTACAATCGACTTTCCCGAGTTCCTCAACCTGATGGCTAAGAAGATGAAAGACACTGACTCAGAGGAAGAGCTAAAAGAAGCATTCAGGGTTTTCGACAAAGACCAGAACGGTTTCATCTCTGCTGCTGAGCTACGCCATGTGATGACCAATCTTGGTGAGAAGCTAACTGATGAGGAAGTTGAAGAGATGATCCGCGAGGCTGATGTTGATGGAGATGGTCAGATTAACTATGAAGAGTTTGTCAAGATTATGATGGCTAAGTGATTTGAGAAAGGTGATGATGATGATGATGACCTTTTTATGGTTCTAGGAGTTTAACCAAAAACATTTGCATGATTGGTGGAGATATGCTTTAAAACAGACATTATTTGTTTTTCGTTTTTTATTTTCTGGTTTGTGACTTTTGTGTGTAATGGAAATCAAGTAATGACTTTTGTGGGTTTGGGTTTTACTTTTGGGTCATATAAATATAAAACCATAGAGAAGTAGATATTGTAAGATTTGGTAATAGAAATATGAGAATTAGATAAGTATGAAAGAGAAATAAATTAAAACCATACATGTCCTTCTTATTTTGTTTAATTTACACAATATGCCACTACCAAAAACACTGTTCAATACGAGATACTGTACACATGATACTGTTCATCAGTCTCCTCACAAAACTATTCATTTGAATTCGGGAACACTATTCACCACCGGATTATATAAAATATTTTGTAATTTGTATGGATAACTATTTGATTATCATGTTAACTAGTATAGTATCGTGATAAATTAGAATAACTATTTGATTAACATGTTAAGTAGTATATTATCTCGATAAATTTATATATTATTTGTTAAATATATATTTATCGTGTTAAACCATTTAATATCATACAAATTAATAAAAAAATACCAATTTAATATTATGATTTTTTTTTAATAAAAATTATTATAAGAGATTACTTATAATGATAGTGATAACAATAATATTAACCGACTACAAATATTTGTAACGTGCTAAGATATTAAACACATCATTTCATAACAATTTACCTATATTTTTAATTATTAAAATACTTTTGTTAGTCGTTAATTTATAAGTTACCGTATTTCACAATTCTTTGATTGTGGAATTAGGTTATGACGGCCACCTTCACAACTCCACTCCAGCCACCACTCCTCTTTTGTCTCTGTCTCAGCTCACCACAACAACTGCTCAACCTCTAGTCACACAAGCTTTCTACACCACACACACATTCACTCATAATCGATAATGCCATCATCACCATCACCGCCGGTACCACCTCTGTCTCCTCTCCTCATCCCACACTACTTATCACCGGATAGTATAAATCTACTCACCTTGGCCTTAACGAAATTGAAAACTCCACTCCATTATGATTCTGTCGTATCAAGTTCACCGTGATGAACTCTTGGCCGACACCAAACACTTTGCCGGAGAGATCTACCATAAAGAGAGAGAAAAGAACATGAGAAATTAAAAATTAAAGACAAAGGTATTACAAAAGGATAGTAGAGTAACTTCCTCAACTTTATTACTGTAGAAACAGTGTCCATTTTGTTCACCTAATTTTCCAATCGTCTGTGGTCATACATTATAGATACCCTTTACTTTTTTAGCCACATTTTGTCGCTTGTTTGGTTTTACAAAAAAAAAAAAAACGGATAAGAAATGGTGATGAAAATATGTAGTCATGCGCGTTCGGTTATCAGTTTGGTTTCATTCGGTTTCGGTTTTTTCGGTTTTAAAATGAAGTATGCATTCAGATATTTTGAAATTTCGGTTCGGTTCCGGTTCTTTCGGTTTTAAAATTTATTATCCATGCGGTTATTTTGCTTTGGATATCTTTGGGTATTTCGGTTATTTTTGGGTATTTTTGGATATTTTTGGATATTTTCGGTTATTTTCGAATATTTTTACTATTTTTTTTATATTTTCAAGTATTTTTCGTTTATTTGGTCTATAAATAACTAATATTTTTTGAAAATATAATTGTTGGGTATTTTTGGTTACCTAAAATATTACGGTTCGGTGCCGATTTGGTTACGGTTATTTCGATTATATAATTTAGTATCCATTCGGTTATTTTCAAATTTTTGGTTCGGTTCGGTTCTTTTTATTGCTTCGGTTTCGGTTCGGTACAGTTGGTTCGGTTTATTTGTCCATGCCTAAAAATATGGTTCGTTTAAGCTTAAAACAAATACTAGTTAAAATTATAATTATGTAGTTGAGTTCTTGAAAATGATATTACATGTAGTTCTCTTTTTGAATAGTGTTTCAAGTTACTAAAAGAAATACATTTTCTGACTTATTGTTTTTAATCATTTGAGCCACTCGTCTGAACTGTCCGTTTCAATACGTGTGTACGTTAGCCACAGAGAAAATGATTCGCGTCCAACCACTTCCAAATAAGTGTCGAATCAAATTCTTAATTTTCATACGACAAATAGAGGTCGCTGAAAAATTAGTTTTGGTATAAAGTGCTTTTCAATTATCAATATAGTATAAAGTGCTTTTCAAGTGTTTTATTTCTTTGGATGCAAAGTTAAAAATTGATGTTGGACTAATAGGAAAACCACACATGTAAAAACATAAGGTTGGTATTATGCCATTGGCCACCATAAATTGGCGTGAAGTAGTAAATTTCAAGACAAGTTTTAAATTAAGATTTTGAACAATACTATTCATATTATTCAATTAAAATTAAGATTTTGAACAATTAAGAATTTTAACCAAGATTTTTAAATTAAAATTAAGATTTTGAACAATACTATTCAATTTCAAGACAACACGAAAAAAAACTAGGCACAACCCCAACCTCGACGCATAGCACCCGCTAGCTAGAGCACATCTCACTATGATTAATAACTCATGTCTAATAGATCTGGGGACATTGTTATGGAACCACAACACATGAATTGTTTATGGTGGAAAATCACTCAACTAGTTAATGGCAACTGAGCAGTCGGCAGGATAGTGTCCTTCCCAGTTACACTAAAATAATAACATAAACATTAGCAACATGAAACAAGTTAGAACAAAAGTCTTTACCAAAAATCAACTAAGAAAGAAGAGCATAAACACCAACATTCCACCAAAATCGATGGAGTCCATAGCACTCAACATCAACGATTCGGGTTCTACTATCCTCAATATATGACCTAACAAACCTACGATATTTTTCAAGTTCACTAGGACTTGCTGATATTTTTACTAGACATGCATGCGCCTAAGGTTCTGTCGCCTTTCCTAGGATTGTTAATTATCTTGAATGGTTAGAGACAACATTGGCATGGTTATACCAAAGCTTTAAAGGTAGACACCTTCAAAACTCTTTTTCCCAAAGAATTAATGAGAGAAAGAAACAATCATATATTTGGACGCCATGTCCATGTGGAGTTGTGTTGATAATTGGACACTTGGGAATATAATACACATTAATGTAAACCATGATTTTGCACACACTATGAACCAAGTAAGAAATTGAGGGTTTACGATGCTTTTAGTGTACAATAAATAATATATTAGCTTTTTTTTTGTCGCCGTTTATTAAAAAAATCCAAAATGACTAAATGCTAGGATAAGCTCAAGAACCTTTGACGATTATAAAAAAGTAACGTATTTATTAGTTCTAAATCATAAAAGAAATTCCTTTATTTCCTTAAAGATCATCAACCAAGCCTTTAAATCAACATTTTAACTCAATCTCTAGTATGATTTACTCACATACATATATCTTATTATATAAAGTATGGTTTTCAAAGTTAGTAACTCATAGGATCGTGACACATGACAAATCTATCGATCTTAGATTTTGACATGTGTAAAACAAAACTTTCCTTTTTGAAATATAAAAAGATAATTGTGAGTAGTTATAAATTTAATTTTTTTTAAAAAAATATAAAAGATAATTATAAGGATAACTGTAAGTAACTAATATTCCTATAAACAATTTAAAAAATGTCAAAAGATAATAATAAGGAAATTACGCGTTTTTTTTGGTAGGTAGGAAATTACACGTTTTTATAATTAAAAAATATATATTTCAATTAAAACAAGAAAAAAATCAGGCAAATTTATTAAAAAAAAAACATATCTTATTATATAAATAATATGATATATTTTTTTGTTTCGCAAAGTTAGTAATTAATATTATCATGAACCGTTATCAGTCAAAGATTTTATCATGTGTCATGATTTAATTTAAAATTTGATATTATTTATCTCAATTTCCTTTCCAATTAGAAATATGTGATGATTTAAATTTTTTTTTCCTTTTTGTAATATTTTTTACTTAACTGTGTTTTTTGTTTGTCCTCAATTATGATTGTAGTATTGCTAGATTATTTATTTTAATTTTTTTTTCATATTTAAACTATCAAAAATTCATATATAATCGTATTTATAATTTTTTTTTAATTTTTCGTTTATTTTTTATCTTTAAATTATTTATTTTAGTTTCTACTTTCAGTTTGACTAAGGGTATGATTGGTTGGGCTGTAAGTGCCTTTTACAGCCATAAATATTTTGTAAAGACCAAATTGTTGCCAATCAAGCTGTAGGTTTATTTTTTAAAGTTACAGCCCAAAAAAATAAAATCTTTTTGTTTTAACTGTAGATCTTAAATTTTCTACAGCTTAATATTTTTTGCTTTTAAGTGCTGTAGGTTTTTTTTATTTCTCTTCTAATTTTTTCTTTTCTCATGTAAATGGATATATACTAATAATATAAATACTATGTATAGTCTCGTTTGTTATATATACTTTATATATATGTATATATATTGAACGAAAAAACTTATATGTGTATATTCTTTTCAATTAATATGTAGTTATTATATGAATACCATATAAAATATTTTATACATTTATATAAATGATTTATATGTTTATATAGATTCCATTTAACCCATATGCATAAATTTGTGTTGTTGTTTATTATATAATTGCTATTAAATAATTTTATTAACTATAATATAATTTAAGAAAATGTAATTTATAAATACAAATTCAAATATTTATTAATCATAATTTTTAATTACAACTAATAATTTACTGTCAAAATTCGATATTCCTAAAATCTACAGTTACAGCCAAAAATCTACAGCTACAGCTTACACACTTACAACCAAAATTCTACAGCAAATAATCTACAGTTAAAGTCTAACCAATCACCCACTTAGATAAGATTTATCATATATCATAGTTCTAATGATTTAAGATAGTGACACGTGTCATGATTTAAATTAAAAATTTTATATTATTTATATCAATTTTAGTTTCTAATTAGAAATAGGTGATGATTTTAAATAAAGTTTTATATTGTTTATTTGAAAGTCTTGAATACGTAAGAACCATATATGCTTCTTCTTTGTTTTTGATATTTTAAATGTAATTATACTATTTTAAATTATTTATTTAAATTTCTATGTTCATATTTGAATTATATAAGATTCATATATCACCGTGCTTATATTTTTTTGAATTTATCAATTTTTATTGATTGATCGTAAAGTCATTGCAATCGAGTATATAGGAATCGAACCCGCAACGTTTGCTTAGAAGGCTAAAGGATTTAGTCGATGTATCATCTTTATATTTTTAACGTGTCTAATTAAAAACCACTTTTGGTTTGATACGCCAACTTTATGATGAATATTTTTAATTTTAGTTCTTCATATAAGTATATCATGAGTTATTGCTATGTGATATATTTTTCATTCGAAATAGTTTGAATCAATAATTTTAGTGGATAAAGAAACAATGCAACAGTGAAAGTAAATATTTTTTTCTTACTTTTGAAAGATAATTTCTACTTGAAACGTTGTTAATTAATTTTTTGTTAAATTTGATTTTAATTTTATAAAAATTAAACCCGTCCGATGGACGGGTCCTTATCTAGTATTATATATTTCAATGTTAAACACTAATTTCAATAAATATTTGATAAACGATCCATGGATTCGGATAAATATCCTTAACACTTAAATAAAAAAACACTTCGATGAACTCTTTCTATGAATTGATAACCATCCTCAACACTTAAAAACAATCCTCATTTTTTTACTCTAGCAAATGATCTTCTGACAACGGCGTTATTAACGGGAAGCCTAGGGTCTTCAAATTGTTTGAGTGCTTCTATTAAGGTAATGATTTGGCTATGGGATCACCTAAAGAAACAAAAAAATCAGTAAAAAAATTCAAAACCGTACAAAAGAAAAGTTGAAAGCTTTATTTTTGCATACCCCAATAGTTCCGGTCATCGTAAAATCTATTGCTTCCACATTGATTCCCTAAAACAACATCGGTGAAACTCCTGAGTGTGACGGCTACCAAGATAGCGTGGATTGACAATGTTTGCTTCCAAATCAGCATCATGACCATGTGCAACAAAACAATAATTAGATAGAGGTACATTTATCCTCTCACAATCCCATAATGAGCACTGAAGATCACTGTACCACCCCAGCCATGATATGCATCAAACCATCATAGATGATACTAGATCTGGTTAGTATAACCAAAACAAAAAAAAGAAATATATTACAGATGATGGAAACGATGAATACCAAATACATTCAAAGCAAAAACAAATAGCTATATTACTAAATCCTAATCATAGCAGATCTCGTATCTGAGGCAACAAATTTCAAGTTCACACCAACGCATTCTGATAGCCCAACACGACGCTATTACATTCAGAACAAATACATTCGAAGCAAATACAAATAGCTAGATTAATAAACCCTAATCATTTTCAATGCATTTTCCACTTATCATTTGCTTTATAATGGCTTATATGTTAGCATTTTCTTTATCGGCTTCTTCTGTTGTTATATGATGGTTATATGAGGTGTTTTTTTTTTCTCTAGGCTCATTTTCTGTTGCTTCCATCCAGTTTTCGTCTGCTTGGATTTTAAGTTTATCAATTTCTCAAAATTGGCATTAGAAGGTTTGAAGATTAGAAGAACAATCATATATATTCATACCCACCAAGTAAAATTTGTTTTGGATAACACTACGGCCATAAACCCAACTATACAATCTAAGGAGTGGCTAGGACGAAAATCTTTTGCATATCCCTTTTCCTATATTTAGTCTCGTGATGTTACTTATTTCAATAACTGTTTTTTTTGGTTTTCAAAATCACAGTGTACTCTGGTTTTCTAAATGGAAGGTTACCATACAAAAAAAAGGGAAAAATAATTAATAGAAATTGATTATAGCAACTTGTCCTATGTTTAATCAAAAATACACATTTCCTTATATTATGCGTAAAAGAGACATTTTGAAACCATAAAATATAGAAAGTAAAATTTTTTTTGGAAAAGTAAATAAATTAAATTAATAAAGATGCCTCCAGCTCACGCAATCTTAACGCGTTTTAATAAAAAAAACGCGTTATTACGTCACTCTCTTTTTCCCTTATTTATAACCAAATCCTTCTTCTTCACACACTCACACAACTCTAACCGTTTTTTTTTTCCTCTCAAATCTCAAAAATCACAAACTCTTCAACAATGTCATCGAAGAACGGAGTTGTTCGTAGCTGTTTAGGATCAATGGAAGACATAAAAAAAGTCTTCCAAAGATTCGACAAAAACAACGACGGAAAAATCTCCGTCGACGAGTTAAAAGAAGTGATCCGTGCTCTATCACCAACAGCATCACCAGAAGAAACAGTAACGATGATGAAACAATTCGATCTCGACGGTAATGGATTCATAGATCTGGACGAATTCGTTGCTCTTTTCCAAATCGGAATCGGTGGAGGAGGTAATAATAATCGAAGTGATTTGAAAGAAGCGTTTGAGTTATATGATTTGGATGGTAATGGAAGGATTTCGGCGAAAGAGCTTCATTCAGTGATGAAGAATTTGGGTGAGAAGTGTTCTGTGCAAGATTGTAAGAAGATGATTAGTAAAGTTGATATTGATGGTGATGGTTGTGTTAATTTTGATGAGTTTAAGAAGATGATGAGTAATGGTGGTGGTGCTTGAGAGATTTCGGCGGCGGAGATTAATTTCTAGGTTTTGTAATTAGGAAAAAAAGTTGGATTTGATCTTTAGTGACGGCGATTAAAAACCCTAGATGATTCACCTTTTTTTTCTTAAGTTTGTGGTGATTGATGAAATATTGATTTTAACTACTATGAGGTTGTTTCTATCTTTTGCTCTTTTCTATAATTACTATGCTTTTATATGAATTAATTACTGATTCAAAAGTTAAATCGAATCTTTTTCTTTAATTTTGACTGTTTAACTGAATATACAGTAAAAGCTCTATAAATAATACAGTTGAGAGTTGAGACTATGATATTTTATTAATTTATCGAGTTATTAATTTATCGGTATACTAATTACCTCAAAAACAAAATTATATTGTAGTTTCTCATTTATCACAAGAACAAACAATTTTTGGTAATGATTAATCTTCCCAACTGCTACTATCAGAAGTTTTTGACAAATGTGATTTTTTTCCCTTATGCACCATTAGGATTCTTGTTATGGGCCGGGCTGACTTGTTCGGCCGTTTTTGTAGTTAGGCCCATTAAGTATTAAACAATTCACTCTATGGATGAATCTACCGGTCCTAATCTCTTTGTAGAACCATAGAGGAGTCCTAGTGTTCTTAATCTCAAGTATCAAGATTGCTCTTTTCCATAACAACATTTGGAGATTAAGGAAAAGATTTTAAGAATTAAGACAAGAAAAAGATTTATCATTAGAACGATACTTCTTTCTTTCTGTTTTTCATTCTTTTTTATTGTTTTGAATGAAATGTTAAATTTTATTCATCAAAAAAACCTTTGTTACAAGTTACTACCATAGTGACACAAAAATAATTGTTAGAACAATTCTTCTTTCTGTTTTTTTTTTTTCTTATTTCTTTTTTTCAACTTGGAAACATGACATAGGGGCCGATTGGTAACGACTGTTAATTCTCGCTGTAGAGACTTTGACTGTAAGAACTTTCGCTGTAGAAACTTTTACTGTAAAGACTTTGACTATATAAATTTTATAACCGATTAGTAAAAACTATGACTGTAGAAATTACGATTTTAAATAACCACCAAATATGTGGGAAAATGAATCTTAAAATAACAAGAAAAAAATTTAATTGTAAATCTACTGAAATTTTTCAAAAATTAATTTCTTTGTGAAAGTTATAAGGATTTACATACATATGAGAAAAAGAAAAATAAAAAAAAACTATAAGCTTTTAATTTATTTATTTCTAAAGTCTCATTAAGGTGACTTTGAAAAAATACTGAAAGCAAAGAGTAAAAAATTAAAAAAAAGACTTTGAAGGCTTTAAAATTTATTAAAGCCAAAAAAGCTTGATTGGGAAAAAAAACTTTTTAAAACTTTTTAAAGTCTTAAAAGTATCATCCAATCATCCCCATAATAGGTGATATGGAACCACTTTGATTAATTAACTTCATCTAATAAAAAAGATTTAAAATAAAATAAAATAAAAAACAGTTCATTGAAAGATAATAATAAAAAACAAAAACAAAAAGCAGGATTCTTCAACTTGTAAATGTGCTTGTCTTATTTCACATCTTGTGCTTGATTTGCATTCACGCTATCAGATACTGAAGTTGTAGAAGAATAAGAAGCATCACTTGAGCTTTTGCTTGTTGATTGAAACTTGGCCATCAATCTAAGGAATAGCCACCCATTGATCATCTTTGCAAGAAGTTCTTCACCTCGCTATTCAACGTGACCAACAAATCAAGAAGAATACTTCCATTAAAACCAGAGCCAAAGACAACTCGTGGAGCCAGCCACATCCCACAGCACAGCAAGCACCACCCCCACAAACTGTAGACAAAGAAAAATCCTTTGCAATCGAGTCACATTTAAAATTGAACGACACGATTTGTTATAAGTGCCAAAGCAGGGGTCATATGACCAGAGCCGGCCATGAGTACAAGCCAGCAAAGCTGGTGCTTGCGGCCGCCATAAATTTATATACTAGCGTTGTTGATTTGTTGAGCTGTCATGGTGATTACTACTTATTATATACTACTTATTATGTGTAATCACCATCAAGAAGAATACTTCCATTAAAACCAGAGCCAAAGCACCAGCTCAACAAGCGAGTCATGGTGATTACACCAAGCTTCTCTAACCAGCTTAAAGGCACCTTCCGCGCAATTAAACTTGTTCTTGTCCGAATGTAGCAAAAGAGCTAACTTCTTGTACTGTTTCTTCACTACTTCATCATCAGTTAAAGGATCTACACCAAGAATTCCATACCAATCAGCTTCTTCTCCTCTTTTTGATGCAAAGAGATAAACATCGATCATTATCAACACTTGCTTCAAACCATCAAGTTTTGGATTCAAATTCTGAGCCTTGTTAATGAATTTCTTCGCTCCATTGTAATCATTCTCCGAAAGTTTCCTCTCAGCAATATCCATTGCCCTTCTAGCTTCTTCCTTGTTACATTCCATGTCGTTAAGACTTAAGAGAGTTTTCTTCTCTACAAAGACAACCGGAGAAGCAAAAGAAAAATAGGTTCAGATGAAGCCGTAGTGAAAGTAGAAACTTTGCAAACTCTCGTAATAAGCTCAGAATATTCTTTTGTATTGGAAACAAATTTGAGAAAAAGGATATTCTTAAAATTATTTTGATTTCTGTAAAAAACTGTTCTAAAATCAACTAATAACTTGAGCAGTGAGGAAGATAATGTTTTGATTCTTAACGTTTCAATGTTGCTGTAAAAACTGTTAGAAAATCAACTAATAACAAAGACATAATGACTAAAGAGAAGTTAGGATACTACACATTGACGATGAAAGGAGAACTTTCTCTTGTTCCACTGTACGAATCTTAGTCTAAAGCTGAAAAAAGATTAATAACGTATCTTAAAGAAACACTGAAAGGTATAAAAGCAGGAGTAGGACTATGCAAATGCAACTTCTAAATGTGATAAGTCTTACTTCTTAGCTCACATATGTCCTCGCCTTCTTAATAATCTTCTCTGCAGCATCAACCGTTTCTTGTGCCTCAAGTCCTCTTTTCAATTTTTGATTTGCAGCACTTCCACAATTAGACTTTACCTTTGATGACACTGATGAAAAATTCCAGGTAAAACTAACCGATGGCGAAGAATTTATCCGAGAAGAAGAAGAAGCGTTTTTGGTGCTTTTATTTGGTTCTTTATTTTGCACACTCCATTGTTGTTTCACTTGCTGTTGAGAAACTTTTTTGGTGCTTTTGTTTGATGCTTTCGGAGTCTTCTCGGTTGCAATGAAAGTTTGACGACAATTTGGACAATGTATAGCCTTGTTAAGATTAGAATTCCTCAGATATTCACCTTGTGTCTTGCAGCTTCTGCACATTGTCCAAAAAGTTCTGCTTTTCCTCTGTTTTGATGAATCCGCAGACGCATACTTAGTAGCTTTAGTAGGCTTATGTGGGTTTGGTGGTTTCTGTATCTCGATCTTTGCTTCTTTCGACTTCCTTCTTTGATCATAAGAAGCTCTCTGAACCTTATCAGATAACAAACACCAAGCTTCCGAAACTAGCTTAAAGGCGCCTTCAGCGCCATAACACTTGTTCTTGTCCGGATGAAGCAAAAGAGCTAACTGCTTGTAATTTTTCTTCACTGCTTCATCATCAGCTAAAGAGTCTACACCGAGAACTCCATACCAATCAGCTTCTGATCCTCCTCCGTTTGATGCAGAGATATAAACATCGATCATCGTCTTCCAACGGTCATCAAGATTTGGAAACAAATTATGAGCGTTGTTAATGAATTTCTTGGCACCAACGTAATCTTTCTCCATAAGTTTCCTCTCTACAATCTCTATTGCTCTTTTAGCTTCTTCCATCGTAGATTCCATATCGATTGTTCAGAGGATAACACAGAAATCAGAGATAGAAAACAGATTTGCAGCAACTCAGTGGATATAACCGAACCCGTGAAAGTGAAAAATCTAAAACCCTAGAGACTTACGCTTATGAGTAATTTATAGATACTGTATATTATACGGTGAATTTCCATTTTCAAAAAGAAGATAGATTTCCTTTTCTAAGGTAATTAATTAAATGAAAATAATTAGTTAATGCAGTAAAAAGAAAAAATATTAGGTCGGTGGCTATTTTGTTGATAATGATTTCAATTTGATTTTGACTTCTTTTTTTTTTTTTTAATTGGAAACAACTATTTTTCAAATACAAATATTAGATAGATTTTTTGTCATTTAAAACTTTATAAATATGTTTAGGGAGACTCACAAAAATGCCCCTTTTTCAATACCCTTTTTCAAAAATGCTCCCTTTGGCTGTCCATTTTTAAAAATACCCCTTTTTATGTACAAAATGACTAAATTACCCTTCTTTTAATAAAATATATCACAAATATATAAGGAAATATAACAAAATTAGGTCTACAAAATACAAAATATTTTTTGGCGGGAAAATTGATCCCGCAATTTTTCCCGCCAAAACACTTGTAAAACCTTGTAAAAAACCTTTAAAATACCTTGTAAAATTTTCCCGTAAAATTTTTCCCGCCAAAAAATTTTCCCGCCAAAAAATTTTTTTTGCGGGAAAAGTGATTCCGCAATTTTTTTGGCGTTAAATTTTTGGCGGGAAAAATTTTCCCGCCAAAAATTTACAAGGTATTTTAAAGGTTTTTTACAAGGTATTTATAAGGTTTTACAATGTATTTTAAAAGGTTTTACAACGTATTTACAAGATATTATAAGATTTTACAAGCTATTTTATAAGGTTTTTACAAGTTATAAGGTTTTACAAGTTTTTTATAAGGTTTTACAAGTTATAAATACCTTATAAAACCTAATAAGTACCTTGTAAAACCTTTTAAAATACATTGTAAAACCTTACAAAACACTTGTAAAAAACCTTTAAAATACCTTGTAAATTTTTCCCGCCAAAAATTTTCCCGCCAAAAAAAAAAATTGCGGAATCACTTTTCCCGCAAAAAATATTTTTTGGCGGGAAAAATTTTACGGGAAAATTTTACAAGGTATTTTAAAGGTTTTTTACAAGTGTTTTGGCGGGAAAATTGCGGGATCACTTTTCCCGCCAAAAAATATTTTGTATTTTGTGGACCTAATTTTGTTTCAAATAAGGGTAAAATGGTCATTAAAAATTAAAAGAGGGCAAACTTAAAAATGGACTCTCAAAGGGGGCATTTTTGAAAAGGGGTATTGAAAAAGGGGCATTTTTAACAATTTCTCATATG